ATCATGGGGACAACCCCAATACTAGAAATGGCGCGCGCTTACGGTCTCCGTCCCCGATTATGGCTTCTGTTATTAATTATTTTTAGTGCCAGCGGTTTTCCAGTTATAATTAAATTTCAACCTGCAACCTGCACCCTGCACCCTGCAAAAAAGACCTGCCAGACAAAACGCGACCTCGTGGTTGCAAGTACCCGACACCACCGCGCGCCCTTGCTAAAATATTACCAGAGACCACCGAGCGTGCCTAGTTTCGTCAAATCGAGAATGCTTCCCCCATTACAAACGCATTTCTTACTTTTTCAACAAATATTCTTTGTCCTTGTATGTATACACCCGGGGAATGCTGGGGTGCCTCCTCGGGTTTTGGCCTCCGGGTTAAAACCCTGCGGGGGCAACTACCAACACATTTCTTACTTTTTTGAAATTCCTTGTATGTGTACACGCGGGGAATGCTAGGGTGCCTCCTCGGGTTTTGGCCTCTTGCTGGGCCAAAACCCTGCGGGGGCAATGAAAGCTCTAACAAAATGTAACAGAAACCCTCATTATACATGTGTGTGGGGTTGGAATCTCGGCTCAGCGTGGATATGCAAATTCGAAGTTGTTTAGCCGGGCTGTCATAAAAACGAGACGCGCGTGGCTGCGTGAATAGAGCTTTAAACAGCAATGGAAACCTGAATAAAAACAGAGCAAATTTAACCACGTCTATATCACATGATTTCGCCAACCAATCACGAATTAACCCGGAAACAGGAGCCATAATCGGGGACGGAGACCGTAAGCGCGCGCCATTTCTAGTATTGGGGTTGTCCCCATGATATGGGACAATAATNCGGTTTTCCAGTTATAATTAAATTTCAACCTGCAACCTGCACCCTGCACCCTGCAAAAAAGACCTGCCGCTTGCTACTGACCGGCATATTTCAATCGATGAAGTGACGGACTGAATTGATCTTAGCTGATTTATATTTTACGCTGTTACGATAGGTAATTAACGTGTAGTGATTGTTTAATTTAGTTCAAAACTGTCACTGGTGACTGTCAGTAAACTTTTCACCACAACAGCTACAATCCTGGCCAAAAGTCCTTGGGACACTTAACAAAATGGCAAGTGGCGACACATTATTTTGAAGTGGGAAGGCATCATTAAATTTGCTGAACCTCCTTCCCCCAAAAAACAATGTTGGAATAGTATGTCCACTTTGGATGAATCAACATCAACATTGTGTTGGGGGTGGGGAGGGGAGGTGGACAGAAAGAGCATATGTTGGCAAAAGTGCAAAGTGTCCCAAGACTTTTGATCAAGATTGTCTGAATGAACTCCGATGTTAAAATTGCTCCTTATAGCAATAAAATGACTACAATGGTGGGATTTCACTTCAGTTAAAACAGTTTTACTGTAGACATTCTAAACGTAGCGGGGAGGGGTGGCTAGGTTTTTTAGGTAAGGGGATGCCAGAGCATTTGCTGATTTGATAAGTTGTCCTTCTCTCAGGGCTTTTTCTCATACGGATCGCCATGTTTCAGGGCCAAATGATGTGCTTATTACTGCAAGAAAATTGATCAGCTACTTCAATAGATATTGTACCTGTTACATCAAGCAAAAGAATCACGCGATAAAGCTTGAGAGCGATTTCTTTA